GGTACAAAGGATGTTTTTTTTTTTTAAGAAAAATTAACGACGTGGTTAAAGAGATATTTTTTCAATAAAGCTTTTATATAAAATATTTGTTAACATTTCATTTAATTTACGAGATATATTGAAAAAAAAAGGCGAAAACCTCTTTCTTCCTAACCCCTTATAATCATTTTTAGCCTTAAAAATTTCTAAAATCATCTATCCAAATTTACATTTATGCCAAATTTCGTTAAAATCAGAATTTTCAGATTCACGAGATTTCCTTGTAAATTATATAAATAATATAACTTGTACATGTGTTATATTCTTTATTACATTTCGTTGCATTACGACAATGTAACAGTTATATATCTGTTTGCTGGATGTTTATATATAATTATATATAGCTCTTTTTACTCGGATGCAATTCCTCAGATTTCATTTTTTAATATAATCCTGTGTTACGTTGGATGATACTGAGTATTGAATAAGAAATACTTTTTTTCTACACATTTCTTTCGAAAATTCATGCACGTAATAAAACCTCGCGTTTAACGTTGAGACTTCTAAACAGTCGCTATGACTACTGTCCTTGTTTAATGATGTCGTAAGCGAGAAAACGCATACTAATATTTCCCTCGTTATACTTTCAACTAAAAAGATATATTAACAAAGCAGAAAACATTTGCGAACAACAGCCCATTTTTCTACAAGTGTAATGAATTCTCTACAAACGTCATTTTCTGGATATATCATTATATATGAAAGTATAACGCAAGAAATCTTGGCATGCGTTTTCTCGCTTCTGACGTCAAACCAAACAGTCATAACAATCACTTGGGAGCCTTAAGTATAAAATACAAATGCAGCTTTAAATCTTGCGATAAGCTTGAGTGAATCGCTCTATACGAGCAGTCGGAGTAGCTTCGAGATCCAAACGGACAGCTGTTTTACCGAAAATACATAAAGTTCACATAATCACATTTCCTGTGTCTGGAACGAAGAAAAAACATTTAGATTTATATTGAGAGAAAGAAAAAGAGAGAGAGAGAGAGAGAGACCGTATCAGGGTGTAGAAAAAGAATCCCGGACAGAGACGGGCCTAGCTTCACTCCTCGTCGGCGTGCACGGGGGTGGGGGACAGAAAAATTTTTCAAGCAGAGCGCAAGCGCATCGGCGAGTCCGTGAAATCGCTTCGACATTTCGCCCCCTCCATCCCTCTCTTTCCCACTTGCTCCGATCGACCATCGTCGCCGTTGAATTCGCGGGAAATCGGGATTGTCGCGGATAAATCAGTCCGGCTTGACGGCGTCCGTCCGAGCGAAGGGTTGCGGCATCCCGAGGTGACCGTGCCGTCTCGGCGCCGTGGAGAGTTGCGGCTTGACGTGACGTGCCGCCTGTTATTCGCCATCTTGACATTTATAGTACATAGAGGAAAAGAGAGAGAGAGAGAGAGAGAGATGAGGGAACTGTCAATCGGCAGGAACCATCGCCCCGATCGTTCGTTCTGTCGCGCGACCGCGCTCGCGCAGGTCTCCCGATCTTATCGTTATCTCTGTCTCATGCGATCGTGCGATTAATTAGCGCGATTAATTTGCAAGTGCCGATCGCGAGTGTCTGTCGTCATCCCTTCTCGAGGAGGAGAAAAGGAGGTTTCCGCGCTGGCACGTCAACGCGCGCGCGATTAGGCCGCGGTTAGGGTCGCGGCTAGGTCGCGGTTAGGTCGCGGCGGGGAACATCGGGAGGCGTCGCGACGACCTCGGGTGCGAGTGTACGCACGGTGCGACGAACGAGTGGACACCACGTCGCGCGAGAGAGGCATGCGTCCACTTGGCGCGCGCGACGGCTTGTTTCTCGTGGTGGATTAGGAGAACGGGCGGACGAGCGGTCGACCTGCAGAGTGAGAGAGAGAGAGAGAGAGAGGAGGGAGAGAGGAACGAGACGAGAACGGAAGAAGCGAGAAGATATATACGCGCTATCGCACCTCGAGAGAGGAAAAATGCGGCGCGAGGGTGTCGAGACTCGGACGACGCGTCGTATCGTCGTCGTGCGGCGATGTTGAGATTCGCTCGGCACGGCGAACGAAGCGGGATCACCAAAAAAGGTATACTTCGGTCGGACGCACCGGTGGGTCCTCGTCCGGCGTCGTACATTGATCTATCCGAAATGAAGCGAAGCGCTAGGTGCTCTATAGACGTCTCTTCCACGTACGCATCGGTCAGACGCAGAAGGTAGTCTCTCTCTTTCTCTCTCTCCCTCTCTCGGCGTAGACCGAGTCCGTCCTCAAGTGCCGGAGGCTTCCCCCTAGTTGCCCCGCGCATCTGACTCGCTTCAGTTCGATAAACGCGGAACGCGAGCTGACGAGCTCCGATTGCTCACGCAGCGAATGATGACGCGCGCGACCCTTTGTGTGAATTTGTGTACGACGGCCTTTGGTGGTCGCGCCAGTGCATTCAACCCGGGAAGTAAGAGATGCCTGTCACAGTGCTAGTGTCGGGGATTACACGAGAGAATATTGCTCGTTGCCTTGCGTTCCCGAAGTGGTCCTATGTGGGGGGTCGGGGTGTGTTGGGGAATTAGTCATCCTTCCCACGGAAAAAGAATGGTCGGATAATCAATTCATGGGAGAGATGACTCGGGGATTTGTCCCCGGTAGTACTTGTTGTGGATTCGTGTATGGTTGTGTCCGTGTATGCGTGTGTGACAGAACGGAATGTCCGGGGATTGTCCTGGATGTTCTCAGGATGTCTTAGAGACACTCCTCAGGGCATCTCAGGGCATATTCTGAATGATTATAGGATTGTGCTATCTGGGTGTGCTCACTATGAGAAATCCTGATTCCTACAAGCGGAAGGAGTAATGTCGCGGGATATCATGTGCAAACTATGAAATCAGCAGTAGTGAAGGTATCCTGAGTAGGGAACATTGCGATAACTCTGGATAAATATGAAACCCTCAGCTATGCAAGAAAGCGGTGGATATGGGGCAGACGTGTCTGGGAACAGGCTCTCTGATGGTGTAGACAAGACCAAAATCGGCGTTACCAATGATGCTTACTCGGAAGACAACAGTAACATAAGGGAGGAGAGCTCTATGATATCCAATCTTCCCCTCTTGTTTGCCAATGGTCATCCCACATCCCTGGAGAAGATCACAATGGTACACGTATCAGTTATCCCGCGTGATATTTCGCATACGTTTATTTATTCTCCGAGAGTCTCGTGTAATTGCTTTATCCAAGTGCTGTGTTTATTGTGTTGTTCGGCTTATCGGTTTATTTACGCGAATAAAGCCACAATCATGTGAAACCGCAGTCCGAACAGCATAGATTCTACTCATTAATCAGATATACTGATGATATAACTTTATTGCAGGTGCAGCTGGAGCGCTTTATATCCTTCATGGTTCATTGTTCGTTGGGGCACGACACCACGAAAATTATTAACCAACCTCAGTGGTGGCCTCAGGACGTTAAGTTTTCAAATCCACTGACAAGACCCAAGAAGATCAATGATGTGAGTTGCTTCCTGTTGTTGAACACCTAATCGTATCTAATTATGTATGATTGGCATTAAATAATTATCAGCAAATTTCATACATAATTTAGTATAATTATGCATAGTTATGTAGATTTATGTATATTTATACATTATATATAAAATCTGTTTTAACGGATCGTGTGTCCAATGAGCAACATAGATAGGATGATGTTTGTGTCGGCTTGTGTAAGTGGAAGGTATCCTTTGTAGACTGTGTTGCAAAGGGTAACGATTGATGACACAATCCTTGTGTGTAGGTGGAGCGTATCGAACTGAATAGAAAAGGTCTCCTACCGTTTTACAGACCTCGCAATAGTTATTATTCTTTTCGCTGCGATTACAGTTATTCGCGGTCGAGAACGTCTTTTACGTCGTGCGCCAACATAGAACAACATAGAACAATAACAATCGCGTCTCTTACCACCATAGCCGCTACCTTCCTTCAAGCGTGCCACAGCGGAAGAGTCAGGGAATTAATTGAAACATCTATCAGTTTCCTGTATCTTCCTACGCCGATTGATCTTGCGTTTGCTTTCACTTTATCACGAGTTCCCAGTTTTTCATTTCTATTATTCATTGAGAAGTTTCCAATCATCAGAACCGTAACGTACATTTGAGTATTAATTCTCGTACTGATACCCTTTGAGTTCCTTACTGGTAAATTATTTTTGACTCGCCCGCCAACTGGTTCTCATTGGCTCCCTTATTTTTTCATGGCTAATTTGAAAGTATCAACGACGAGTGGACGATAAGCGATCGAACGAACTTCGTAGGCAGAATCTTACTTATAAGCTTTCTGTAACTTCATTCTGTAACTTTGCAACGACAATGTCAGTGGGCTTAGGGTGTCGTTGCGCAGCTTTTCCGCCATATATTATACCTGCGTAACGACGACGTAACGGTAACGAAACTATTGTTAAAAGTTACTTAGAATAAGCTTACCGAGATGTCTTGAATATGTCGATAATATCCTGGCAATAACGGGCGATGTGTGGCGAACAGTCCAGCATCATGCATTGTCATTAATTGTCAAGCATCTTGTATAATTCACGAGTGAAATTCCGCCGTTCTAAAGGCACTGGTTCGAAACTGTTATTACAGAACTGGATGGCGAATCTGAAGAAATTAGTTTTCCGTTGTTATACGTACCACAGAAGCGAGTATTTGCTGCGTTTTTGTTCCTACCTGGCCCGATACCCACACGAAGAGCTGCAGTACGTCAATAATTGGGACTCGACGACTAGTTTGTATCACAAAAGCACCGGAAAGCTCTTAGTGACGTTCCGTAATGAGAACATGGTGTGTATAAGCATAAGATCTATAGACATATTTGCGATGTCCATGCCGACTTGCCTCGCTGTGGCTTATGCGTGTCCACCTCTCGGTTCAATCAATAAAAAAGCTTTCCACGGCTACAGAATTATGACAAGAAGAACGAAAGCTCGCGGAGAACGTTGTTGTCTCACAATGCAACTTCACCCGGATACGGTAACAAGGTCAAGCAACAGAATACTCCCATGATGGTACAACCACCATGCGACGACATTTATCTGTGCGACAATTGCGACGCCGAGTTCGTCGGTCTTACGAAGATGAAGGTAATCATATCAGATTTATCGTGACTAACTTCTTAGCCAAGGTAAAACTCCCGCTTAAGGGAGACACCTCCAATGACCTTATTCTTCACATATGTTAACAAAATCACGACCCTGAGTAACAATCAAGTAAATCGAAAGTAACGGTAAAATCTTAGCCGTCTCGCTCGTTGCTTGTTATAAAAAGTTATTGACAAAAAAGTTTGAAAATTCTAACAGAAGAACTTTAGCGATAGGTCGTTTTAACAGCTTGATTAAAAGTACAAAGGGACAAGGCCTTCCCATTCCACGTCGCGACTTTTTTTGCAGTAAGAAAAAGTGTAAGAGCTCGAGAACGTCGAGTCCCTCGGGGCAAGTTAACAATTGGAGCGCCGATAAAAAGGCGAGACGGAATAATTTTAAAGTTCATGTTGTAATAATAAACTTTGGTTACACCACGGACAGATTACTGACCGCCTAACTACATTACGATCACACAAATAGCTAGACAACTTTCGTCGTAAGTCAAATTTAAGAATTCATGAAGCTTCATGTCTGCGTGTCGAGTGTACACTGAACATGGACTAATTAAATCCGCCAATATATACGTTAGAATCATAACAATGAATAACACTACACGATCTGCATTGCTGGCAACAATTAAAGAATCAAAAAAATTTTCGTCGATTTTTCGGTCATTTTCAAACGGCTGTGTCTTCGCGAAAGATGAACGGAGAAGAAAACGAAAAAAGAAAAAACACTTTGAAACTGGAACCTTCTAGTCTTCAGATTATTTAGGAAAAATTCGCTATCAATTTTTTTCGCGAAGTTATTCTTTAATGGAGAAACCAAAACGAAATTGCCACATTTTCTCTCAAATTCAAAACGGTATATGGACTTGAAAACAATTTCTTTCTAGGAACCAACTGCATAGTCTTAAAGTTTGTACATTCCTCTTCAATTTTCTTTTTTGTGAGTTCTGTACGATTTTTTTTTTTAGTTATCAGCTGTTAAAGCAAAAACCGCACCTTTGACTTTAAACCATTCTAACGGAACATATCTTTAGGATCTTTTAGTACATGCTAGACTCATCAATTTAGGGCCGGTTGTTCCACCTTCGGATAAATATATCTAATGGATAAATATCTGAAGAACGTTCCCGCACGGACATAAACTACAAGAATAGGAATAAATTACTGGTATATTATTGTTCTTCGATAATATACTAGTAATTTTTTCATATTCTTGTAATTTATTTCCAAATGGGAACTTTTTAAATAATAGTATGATAATATTTAAGCGTCAATAATCAGGAGACCCCGTTTTACTTATTAACAATTCAAACTTCTTTTGTCGTCATTTTTTAACAACAAACGAGAGTTAAGATCTTTTATTGTTACTCACGAGAACGATTTCTCCAAATAGAAATGCGTGATGATCACGTTTTACCACAATATATCATATTGTGACTTCGACTTATCATCTTTTTGGAGATCATTACGTATTGACATTACATGAACACAAGATGTACACAAATGATATGTGTTCTTGATATGATTATAATTACTGCTATTAGATGAGATATTTTCCTGACATCCTGATTTGAACGACATTTAAGTAGCGTATACACAGGCATCTGTATCTTGTTCTCACATTTTGGCTATTGCGAATACAAAATGAGATCAGATTGATTATATTTTACTATCTGGGTCTATAATATATGTGAAGGATAACGAATAAAAGTCTTACTGAAGTGACTCATCACTCACTGAAAAAAAAATAACTCGTCACTATGTTATCGTTATCAGGGAAGCAATAAGTCGTTACAATTTCCATTATTTCTTCACCAGGTTGTGAAGACTTTTTTTTCTAGAATTCGTCTGTGTGATTCATTGTACGTGTGCAAAGTAACAATTATATTTGTTACCGTTACCCATACAAAATGTAACTATCGTCGCCGTTACTATAATGAAAAAAATATAACGTCCTTACCAAATCGTTAGCAAAAAAACAGTAACTTATAACGGTAACAGATTACAATTATTGAATGTGATAACTTGTAACGTTACAAGTAACGCGTTACTTCCCGACTCCGCTGGGAACATCCGTAATCGTTTACTGCGAGACGATCTCTCAGGGTTTAGCGAGGGAATTCAATTTAGATGTAGTAATGCTAATGCACAGTGGGAAGCAAAACGGTTTAAATTTACTGAAGTTGGGAACACATCAAATTATCACGATTTAAACTCGCTACCAGCTTACTGCTTGTGTATTTATCGATTATGACAGGAACCGAAGTGATGATACAAAGTGTAAATATCAGCTTTATACATTAATTTCTATTGCAACTGTGACATCCGATATCTCATATATTTGAAGCATTTCAATTCTTCGAGCACCAATATTACGGTTGAGCCCACGATACTCTTGAATGCATCAACACATTTTTACGTTATCTTGAGCACATTTATTTTCATACCATATACTGCCACGTACTTCAATTTATGTCATAATTTATCACTACGCCAGCGGCAGCGACAGTGATTCTCAACCGTGATAATGTGTTGCGCTTCCAATTTCAGTGTGTCCGTTTTGTTTTCCATTGTGCGCCAGTGGACAGAAAGTTTGCGATACTTTTTCTTCGGATAAGTTTCGAAACCCATCCCGTGTCCAATCTAAGAATTTGTTTCTCAGTTATTCCCGGGGGATACATTCTTCTCCTTGGCTACGAGATGCGTTGCGAAACTCGTGGAAAAAAAAGTGTCACAACTTTTCCGTCCACCATCCGTACCACACGCGTTACATACGCCTTACCATTTCCTAGATCGAAAGTTGCATGATTTTTAGCCTTACACATATACGCGTAGGATCGAAACCATGAGTCCTATTATTACACGGGCAACATCAGTCCGGTTTAGCAACCGTAGTTAGCGAATTCTTGCGTTTAATCGAAGCACATTTTTACATCTAAAAGAACATAATCGGATGCGAGAGTTCACTAACTACGGTTGTTACTAAACCGGATTAACGTTGCCGCGTAAGTACAGCCCGTTACAATTAGAGTTACTTGTGCGATTTCCAATCATATCCGTACGTGCGTAAAATTGAAAATCGGGAACTCTTGATCGAAGAAATGGTAAAACATATATATATATATATATATATATATAACGCAAGTGTATACACGTACCTGTTGTCCGCTGATTCAGGAGCACGAGAAGATATGTGGTGAGCAAGAGAACGGTGGTAGTGGCTCGCGATCCTCCACGCCTGATTTGTCCGTGGTCGAGCCCGAGCGACAGCAGCATCAATTTCTAGAGTACTTTAATTTGAGATCAATTGAGACTGAAGCTAAGCCGCCTGATGTGATTAACACGGCCGAGACTGACAACGGTATCGTTAAACGAACGTCCCGGCGCGTCAGAGGTTCCCTCAATTTCGCTAGATGCGCCAGCATCCCGTTCTCGTCGCCCGCCGGTTTGGTATTGGCGAAGAAGTCCAAGATAATGACCCAGGAGACGCAGCAAGAACGACTGGACCGAATAGAGAGACACGTTATCGCGCCAGTATTAAACAGTACTTGCAGACCAAAGTGGTTGGACGCCGAACCGGACTACGACAGATGGGTGGTCACGTACAAGCCAAGCCGAGATAAGCCGAACGACGATTACGTCCATCAATATAGATTCGTGAATTCATCCAAATACAAGCCAGGTAATTATTCACTGTTGTTAGCGAGAGGAAATCGTAGGAGAATTACGGCCTTGTCTACAACCTTGCTTCAAGTGGACGTAAGCGTTGAACTTAAGCGTTACGTCATATCCGATTTTAAACTTGCTCTAATCCGTAAGCTATGAGCCGTGAAGTATGCAATAAGACGTAAGCAGTAAGCTAATTGACCAATCACAATCGATTATTCTTGGGCTGTAAGAATTCAATTGATCAATTAACTTATTGCTTACGTCTCACCGCATGCTTCACGACTATTGTAGACGGCCCTTAAAGGAAATCGACGTTTCCTATTTAAGACATAAGCAGTAAGAGAATTGACCAATCGCAGTTAATCATTCCTCGACCGATGGAGAATAATCGACTGTGGTTAGTCGGCTTTTTTAAGGGTTTATATATTTTTTCTTATCCTGTATATATATGTGCGTGCGTGTGTGTGTGTGTGTACAAAATGTTAATAAGTTCGCGCCTACGATTTATATAGTGCTATTATTTATTAAAATTAATTAAAAATCAAGTCAAAAGATCCTGGATCATTTTTTTACGATTCTTAATGAAGAAAATATTAAACAAAATTCAGTCAATTATATTTGAAATTTCCAACATTTTCAATATGATTCCTGACTTTCGATCAAATCCTCTGAGAATTCCAGGTAGCAAACATCCTGTTATCCTCTTTTTTCCCATTTGATTATATATTTGAAAGCCAATCATTTATATTTTATACAATAACCCATATTCTCCTTTCCCAGCTCTGAGTATAGAGGCACAACTGCTGTACGCTGCGTGTCAACCCATTTACGTCGTTCTTACTCGACTGAGTGAAAAGCAGATCGAGAAGCTGCAGCAGGACCCCTCGCAATATCAACCTCCGAACCTCGCGCGGGAGGTTAAGTTAACGAGAAGAAAAGCGGGGCCGGCTTGCAAGACGAAGTCGCGACCGGTGGCTAACGCACAAAACGCGTCGCTGTCTGCGAAGCGCAAAGCGTCGCTGGGAAACGAGTCCGATCCGATCGTCGTCGAGGATGACGAGGTCAGCGCATCGTTGACGGTGAGCACTAGAGGGGCTTTGACTGCGTCCACCGATGTGAGGTCACCTTCCGCGTTCAAGACGGAAGATCTTACGAAGCCAGTCAGAGAGAAGAAGTCGTGTCCAACGAGTTCGATTATGCTGATCGATCTTTGCTCGTCCGACGAGGAGGAGGATCGGCGTACTTTGACGCCGACTTGCGACGAAAATAGGGATCCTATGAGCTCCACGGAGCCCTCGATCACGAGGTCCTTTCTGCGAAAAGTCACTTCGACCAAACACTACGCGAAACCTCATCCCGTGCCCTCGCCAACGGATCGGTTATCCAGTAACGTGCTGAACGAGGATAGGAAAGAAAATTGTACGAATAAATCCCGAACTGGTGTATTGAACGAGTACGCACACCTTTCTCCTGTTCTCAGATCAGCACCGTGAATATATCGGCTCCGCCTGAGGGCTGAGGAACCCTTAAGATTATGTCTTTTGTGCGTTGTCATCTATGTACATTGTTTACCTTCGTATTTATTATTCTACCAATCGAACGGATAACGAAGTCACGTTAGACAGTCCGTATCATCATCATTATGATTTCGGTTTCGGTGGGTAAAGCTTGCGAGTTGCGATATATGGACGAAAGAGGAACCATTGCGTTAAGTCGTATCACGTTTGAAGGCTCCCAAGTATTCGGATGTTTGATTATCCGGATATCCGCCAAATCCGTCCCGATCCGAAAACTTAAAACTGCACTATTGACCGGATGGTCCCGGTCATCCAAGTTTGAATCTAGGTTCAGACTAGAATCGAGAACTAGATCCAGAAATAAGTTTGGATTCGGTTAAAGATCGGCTTGCCATTAAGTTGTTAAACATTGATATTCGATGTATGTTGTTGAATTTTTCAGACAGATCTGCAAACGTAGGTTCGGATTTGGCTTCGATTATTTCTTAGAAAGCCCGAGCCTTCTCAGACAACCCGAGATTTAAGCGTTGTATTTATCCATTGTCCGAATAATCGGATATCCGGATAATATCAGGTGCGAACGAATCTTGAAGTTCTAGCTGGGAGATCATAGAGAATACAAGATTTCCCACAATTCGCAATTATTTAACAATGAACTTTCATGATAGGCTCTCTAGGAAATTTGAAAATATTCAAATAGGTTATCGTTTAATGCAACATTCTCCGATTATATAAACGTTACAGGTTTCCTTAAGCAAGTTTTACAGTACTACAAAAAAAATCTTAAAAACGTGAACATATAAAACTAAAAACATAAATAATGTTAATATTAATCAATAATATTGTTATCATGTTTTCGTAACATTATCGAGCCACTGAAAGAGAGAAAGAGATACTATCTCTTTTCAAGACTTGTAATTAGTAAACTTGTAATTGTTTTGATACCTCTAAGGAGAAATCGACTTCAAGAAATCACCAGAGAATCTGTTACACACTTAGATTGCGGGTTGTGAGACACTCTATGCATACAGATCCGTTATGTGTATAGTCCAGAATACATTTAGTTTGTTACATACGCCCGCTATTATAACTATTAATAGGATTAAGGCTCGATTTAAGTAGATATAAGTCGAAGTATGTACACACGTTAAGTAACAGAACAGGATATATGAGCGCACTTTTTAATACGTCCCGCACAGTGAAATTTACCGGAATCTGACAGAAGAGAGAACCAGACAAATTAATCAAGGCAATTTGGCTTACACGGGTATATATATATATATATATGTTATTGTACAACAAGAGAGAAAATTCGTCTTTCCTTGTAATTGCGAAAAGTTGCGTAACGAAGAAAAAAAAAAAGCCTCATATTTGTTTGTTAAAACTGCTACAGCCGTATAGCGGAAGTATGTAAATACATATGTTACTCATCTGGACGAGAAGATACAGTTCACGCAGTTTATAATACATATATTCATTTACATTCTTCAATCCTGTTTCTTCTTCGTTTTGAATATCTTTCCTACGAAGAACGAGAACAGTTTACCTTTCCAGTCCTTCTCGATGGGCTTCAGAACCAATCTTTTCGTGGAAATGTTGTGAAGCGGACCGAACGCCAGCGCGACGGCCGTGCACGCCAGGCAAATGACATTGTAAGGCATACTGAAATCGGGAGTCGGAAGACTGATGAGCAAGGATTCTGTCCGTAGTTGTACCAGATAGTTGTCCCTCGAAGCGTTGAAACTGCAAGTTTTACCGTTCTACTAAGTGCTAAGCTCTCGTTAATTTAGCTGTTTAATGAATTTATATAAGTTCACGACGAACGAGAGCCCCTCGTTTCCTGACCGGCGGAGAAACGACGCTCGAACAAACGTAGCGCGAACCAACCTCGAGGTAATCGTACTTCCATCGAGCGGCAGGGCGGTATAGTTCCTGGCTATGGGCAACAACGCCGTCACTACCGCCGGTTCCATGTAAAAGCCGTGATTAGCGTCCGGTGGATATTCCTGCCACTTAAGAAACAAGTAGTCCATGTCGACGGAGACCTTCGTGACCGAGTGCGGCGGCAGGCGCAATATTAATTCCAAGTAATACGGGCTCTTTCTCTCCTTCCCAGGTAGATAACGCTGCGCCACTGCAATACACCGTTAGACAGAAATTGTGTCAACAATCATGTTATACAGTTTTCACGAATAAAGCCTCTTTTTAGACATTTTACCGACTGCGTAAGTTGTACAGATTACACGTTATACGTTATTACGTTACATAACTCCAATATATATATATTGTACGAACAAAAGGATATAATTATAATTCCGATATCGAACTTTCGACATGCGTAATCAATCAGTAAGAAATCGTTAATACGCACAATCCTATGTCTCACGATTTTGAAATAACAATACGAGCTCCTCGTTTCATCGTGTCTTATCAAAGTAGTTTGACACAAGTTCGAGACATTGCGAAAAAAAATTGCCTCAGCCACACAAGGCAGCCAGCCGGCATATCTTATCGGTCATTCGTTCCGCGTTGCACTATTTTTTATCTCTTGTATTATCAGGATATATATATATGTGGCGGTTGAAACAACCGGCGATTGAAACAACGGCTGTTCGCACGCGTAATTTGTTCTTTCGTATTTTGCTTCGCATTTTTATTTGCTCTTCGGCGTCCCTGAGCGCTCACTTTTGAACCTCAAGCATCGCGGACGCGCTCGAGAGTGCTCATCGCCACCGAATCTCCTCGTGATTTGTTCTCAACGCTCCGGTCCTGACCGCATCTCTCGAAAATGCGCGTTAGTGCATCGCGCACGGGAGTGCGAGTGTCTCTCGTCGGTCTTACAAGAGCCTTCCGACGGCCTTCGTCGCGATCGACGCGGTCGCGCCACTTGTGCGCGATTTCCGAGCCGTGCCGCCGCGGCGACCCGGCGAGCCATCTTTCAGCGTTCCGATTTCTCTGTCCGGCTTTGCCCATTTTGTTTAACGTGCGACTTTAGTTCATAGAATCTCGCTCTCAATTGTGTCGCGCTGAGAGTTTAAAAATTATCGTAAAAACAGCAGTTATTAAAGACCTCCGCATTGATTTGCGCACACCCCAGCACAGCTTCGCTAACCTTTTCTTAATAGCGACATACGCTAAATATATTACTCACGCGGGGAAACTTGTCGGCCGTTCCGGGTAATCGTGATGGAATGTAAGTAGACTAACAAATACCATGGAATGTTCTGCAACAGAATCACGTCTAACGGCTGCCAATGATTGTTGTACAACTTTGTCACTAAACTGCCTCTCTCTTGGCCGTATCCTGGGGAATTGTATTAACGTGTAGCGAAATCATCGCTTATATTAACTATGTCTAGGAATGTAATGATGTGTCAACGAATTCGATACTCTAAAGCTACAATTCTTAAGGATATATACATATATATTGTGCGATGTAATAAAAGAAATAAATTCACCTGTGAGATTTGTCTGAAAGAATTTCAACACACACACACATACACACACACATACCGATAATGTATCTATTCGCGTACAGGATCGACGGGTAGTTTATAGCGTTCATCTTTGCCGTGCTGTGCACGGCGGCAACGTTAAACATTCCTCTGCTGGAGTGCGCCCGAATGTCGTACACCGCTATTTTGTTTTGCTGCCCTCCACGCAGGCTCACGATTTTCGCGCTCGGTGGTGGCGTCAATTCGTACACGTAATTCGTATTGTTGTTCGATATATCAACGTATACGTTACTCAACGTAGCGAGCGGGCAGGCGCCTCTCAGACCCATCCCAAAGAATTTCCGAATCGACCAGTCCTGTGTAGATCAAGGTTTGATTGGAGTATTTAAGGGAGTGCTAAAGTCGACGACGAATTGGATAAGTGACGATAACATAAGGGCGATCTCTCTCTCTCTCTCTCTCTCTCTCTCTCTCTCTCTCTCTCTCTCTTTCTGTCTGTTCTCATCAAAATGTTATATAAACATATTGATACAATCATACCATTCTTTTTGTATCTCTTGTACATATAGATCTTGCGTTGACATAAGCGCAATATAAATATGAATATGATGAACGTGCGTTATTCTGTTTCACCATGTCTAATAGAAAAATCGAATGAAGAGTACGAACATTTTTTTGTGAACATTTTTATCTTTTTAGACCTCTAAATTTCATTGAAAAGGCATAAGAATATTCCCGGAAATTCTCTTGATTAGAGCATTGATATATTCAGTACACATAAATTACAGGTTTTCTGGCGTCGGGTAAATATTTGTTCTTACTGACCGGCTAGAGATGTCAATTTCGACATTTCTGATCCTCTCGTTTTCGTCATGCATTGGGCAATGCTCCAATTCATTTTCGCGTTTTACTATGTAAAAGTGTTCGCGTAACTCTACATAGCTGATATGACGTAAACCTTGCGGAAAGAAGCCAGTATTTTGCCGGCAAATTTTCCCGAGCACGGATCATCATTTTAATGTCCGTCGATTTACCTGATTCGGGTCCGCCACGGTGTCGTATATCAAAGAGACAGTCTGCCGCAGTTCCAGAGACGTTCTCGTGCAAGTCACGTCGCGACATATCGACCGGAAATGTATCCCAATGGAGTGGTAATTAGTATTATGGATATGCGCAGAATTCAGCAACGTCGCTAGACCCCTCTGAAAGAAAAGTTAATTATAACTATCGCAATAAATAGATTTAGATGTAGCAGTGCACTATCAGTAATGAGTATTTCATCAGGTATTTCATTCATCCGGGAGTACCTTAGAGTCGCAAGGTAACAGTTTCTTAAACGGTGTTAGATTCTCGGTGCAAACTATCTCTCTCGGTAAGGACGAGTAACGCAAGTGACTAGAATTTACTGGCTCATCTGTGACTCCGGTGGGACGAAAAGTGAACTCCGGCGACATACTGTTGGACGCGTCGACAAAGTTCAGAGAGGCACAGAGTAATCCAGCCAACGCATTCGTCAGGCCTTTCCATCCCTCATCTACGCTGCACGGGAGGGAATGAATATCTTGTAAAATTCTGATATCCTCGTTGTTAGTGTGATAGAAATATAGCAAAATGACTCATGATATTTGACGCTATGTATATACATCGTTGTCACCTGTAAAAAATATTTTGAATCCTCGAGAATATTTCTCTTACTCTCTTTTTCCCTTACTTGGTCACATTTTTATTGAACCAGGCGGTGACTTCAGCACCAGGACCAGCATCGTGGAAGGGATATCCCCATTTTTCATAATTCCACAGTCCCTCTGTTAAAGTGACGTGTAACTCGTCGATGTTGTGACGGCCTATGATCTCACCCAATCCCCTCGGGAAGAGATGCGAATGTTGGACTGAAATATTGTTTTTTATCACGTTTATACGAATTATTCGGTGCTATCGCGCGAGTGTTGTATACCACTCACGTGTCTCCACGCGTTTCGCTGTTTCCCATATCGTGGTGAATTGAAAGTAGGCGTAAACGTGATTGCTTGGCAAAGGCTTCAGCATCAGTTCCTCGTCGAAAAAGTCATTGTACGGGTTACCGCACGTTACGAGACCGATCGAGCCGGCGAAGAACGCGAACGCGTGTAAGGATAACATGTTACTTTGAGGTTATGCCGCACCGACTGAAACAAATGTCGCGATAAACTTAATTGACGTAGCTTCTTCAGATGATAATTCATTACTTGGTGTATACGAGTGTACACGACAAAATGATCAAACTCGAGGCAGGCATACGTAATCGCACCGGCTTGACGAATCAATCATTATCGGAGCACTCGTCGATGGAGAATGTAAACAAACGATCTCTGTCAGATAATAGATGGGCGAAGGACGCGATGAATAGAGTTCGCATGCTTTGTCGTTGAATCCAATTATCTGAAAATTATGATATCTCCGGTCTGTCGTTCAGACATACCATATGACGAAGCCACAGCCGAGTATGTGGCAAATAAAACAACATATATATGCATATTTATATGTAAAATCAGAAGTCTATTGTTTTGGTCATGAAAAAGACAAGATTCAACGAGCTTTGATTTCGGAATAAATAACGCTAATGAAATTGCTCGAATATAGCAGTTTACAGCTTAAAGTCTCAATTTTCCAGGTGTATTTGCGACTAAAGCTTATTTTTTACAATGTTAAACAAATGTAAATCAAAACTCCCGTATTTCGAAATTTTTTATGAAGTTTGTCGAGTTCACGTAAACTGAAAATTAAATACAAACAATGTTTACACAATGCATCTTGAAATGCGTATTTTCTCATTTAATTTGCGTATATATATATATATTGAAGTATAATATTTTTTCACTGAGTTATACAATGTTGATATAAAAAGGATCCTTTCGTCTTTGATCGTTTATACTAAATGAATAAGTCAACGTGCGACAATTCTCAAGAATGAATAGAAAGCTTAAAGTTTCCCTTTCAGAACGCATTCATTTAAATTTTCGCCAAAGTAATTTTTCAATCTAAAACCTCGACTAAAAATATGATTGGAGATCGAACAGTCGCTACTTGTTGTTTCGCTCGATATATCTTGGCGAAAAATGGCGGCAAATATATGATATTGCCTATGCCCAGCAGAACATTGATTTTATAACTGTTGGAAGTTTTATGAGTTGAAATTAGATTATTCTTTTAGATCTACAGCAATAATCCAATCTCAGAAAACCTCCAACGGTTGTAACGGTTGTAAAATTAAAAATAAACGTTTTGCTGAACGAAGCCATTAATATTCATAAAAGTAGACGATTCATAAGCAAAATGCTTTTCCACCTCAAATTTATCTTTTTTTTTTTAAGATTACAGTCTGTTGAAAATTTTGTTTATCTTTTAGAACTGAATAATATGGAACATTTAATTTATCATTAAATAGTATTACTTGAAATGTGAAGTAACAGCTGATCCATTGTTGAATCGTACTACGATCAGAAGTGTTGTTGTTGAATGACCGAGAAACAAAAGTTCCTATTAGCCAATCAGAAATCTTCGATAAGAAAAGTAGCGCCTCGTACTGAAAAATGAACTAATTATGGCGGGAATATAAATATAAATACGCAAATTAAAAGAGAAAATTCGCAATTTTGAACGGTGTAGCGTTTATACGCGACTTTTCATTTATATATGTGCTACAATTCGACAAACTTTTCGAACAATTTGACGTTTAACAAACTTTGATTTATATATTTATATAGCTTTTCAACAAATAAATTGATATATTACACTCTGCTATTATTTTATTATATAGTTGCTGGACTTCGAATGGAAAGTTCTCGACGCTCGTGTCTTCTCCGGACGGTCTGACAAGTCACCAGATCTATCCGCTCAAAGGACTCGCAAAAATATGCCGTTCGGAGTCGGCGTTAAACTTGTAGGTCCTTCACATGCCTGTGTATAATCAGCATGCGCATCACAAGCGAATATGAGCGAAAGGTAACACAGGCCTATAAAGAGCCCCTTGAAGAAGAAGAAAGTTACTCTTTGAGCAAAATATTACGTCCTGAATTTACAAAGAAGATTTGAAACGAACTTTCCGAATAATCTAATATATATTTGAAAAGAGAAATTCTCCAATTTTTGTATGCACGTAGTTTAATAAAAAAAAAAAACAATGTAGCCAGTAAATTAGTTTTTATTCTCGATGCGCGAGAATTATAACGTCACATTTATTACTATATTGCTGTTTTTCTTTTATCTTTCTCTGTATTCTTATATTCGCGATCATTTGTATTGTCCTCACGTGTTCTATTTCGGCTTCAATTTATGGTCATAGCATAGCTAAGGAGAACAAAGCTGAAATGGAATGGTATGGTCATTTTTCGCTGTTTACAGCGTCCTGCACTTGTAGGAAAAAACGTGGGGATGAAGAAATATGAAAGATATCATCGATACATGTACTATATGTGCAAAATAAATTATATAATCACATAAAATACAATAAGTTTGCAAACATAAAAGAACAAATAATAATAAAATAATGACAAACTTAGGTCTCTTTTAAATTATAGCATTGCAGATATAATAAATCCCGTTTCAAAGAAGAAGGTCCATTTTTAAACATTCTAGACTTTTCGAAATGGAGAAATAAAGTTTGAAAAAATAGACTTGACCTCATCTTTGAAACTGGACACCTTAATTATTAATCGTACAATATTGTGCGATCAGAGGAGCGACTGTCTCATAAATTAAAAAAAAAGTCAACGGCTACATAAAACATCAGATATGATGAAAATATTTCATATATTTAGTACAAAAAGCATCAAGTGGAAGATATAAAAGTAGAGTCACTTTCAAATTTGTTTAATCTCGCCGCTGCAGTGCGGGCAGCATGTCATATTTTTAATGTCACATCGTGGAAGAAACATTTGTCCACCAACTGCGACCGCCGCGCCCATTACCGCGGAGCAGGCAACGTCCTCCCTTCCTGACATCGGTAATTTTTGATTCATCAGCAGCTGCAATTTAAACATGATCCCATTACACCGGTTTCATCATCATACGTTACATCTTGTCATATTTAGGAAGAAACGTTCCCACCTTCTCCGCGTTGTGCTCCGCGAGCGTTTTCATATCCAAGCCGGTTATATTGATCTCTCTCCGTAATTCGGAATCCGGGACACCACTGAGTAGGCTGACCTTTAGAATTTCCGCGAGCTGACAGCATCCCTGCGTGAGATCCACGATATTCGTGCTAGCTAATTCGTGTTTCTTGCCGGACGTCGTGCCTATCGGGTCGAATTTTTCTCGCAGAATCGTAAGCATCCTGGAGAAGTAAAGATTGGTTGTTAAATTTATGAGATAATACATCACGTAATAAGTAAATGAATACAAAAAAAAAATATATATATATATACATATCATATATGTATAATATTATATAATTACATGTATATATAAACATAAAATTCACTTTTATATTTATATACAAAAATATACATGCGATTAATTATGTGAATTATATATTTTATACATATACACGCATATCTGCACGCAAAATATAATTACGCAATGTACCTATAAGTTTTAAGCGACGTGTCGCGAATAATATTATGCTCTTCCAACAACCGCTTCATAGATTCTTGCAGCTCCGTTGTTCTTTGGCAAAGCGCAGCCTTCCATCTCGCTAAATCTTCCACCATCAAGCTGCAATGAATCTCACATTAGCGACGCATTAACGTTCACGCATCGTGAAAATTCCAACCGAAAATGTCGCTGCGGACTCGACGCAAACCGGTGAAAAAGGTAGAATCTGCCGTGCTATCTAGGAAACGATTGTCAATTACCTACTAGCTAGAAATTTACTTCTCCAAACTTCACATTGCCCTGCCAGCCATTCGGTTTGTTCTTGATGTGTGGTCAAATGCTGGGCCGAGTTCAGGAGGGCACGGGCGAGTTGTAATTTGTCCTCGGTCAATAAATGAACCCTCGTCTCGAGATCCTCTCCCACTGCAGCGACTAACAGATTCTTCAATTCGCCATTGACCTGCGCATTTGTGACGTGTCATATATGAATATTACAAACTGCCGAACTGAATTCTTCGTCGCCAATCGAAAGCACAACTGTCATACCTGTGCTTGAAACTTTAACTGAGTCTCAAGCTGGCTGTTTTCCTCCTTGAGTTTGCGGATCTCCGCCTCGTATGCACGTTTCTCGCTCTTCCACTCGTCCTCAGCTGCTTTATCCTCATTCTCTTTCATAGAATCCTTCACTCTCGTATCGGCGTCTTGAATCTTCATCGCAGCGACTTGCGCGATTGTTGCCTTCACGCTCGACTCTTTCCTAGACAGTCTCTTGGTCTTTTTTTCAAACGGCACTATCGGGTTGACGGCTGCCTTGTACGGCTCGTACGGCACGAACTTTGGCTCCCTTGATTTTAGGGAATGCAGAATATGCTTCTCTTGCTTTACATTACTAATGTTCTTTGGCACTAGGTTTACTATTGTACCGATGGGCATGACAGGAGGCGTCGATCCCAACTGCTTTAGGTTGGTGGGGTGATAAATAAGGGTGTCTCCCAGACGACTTTTGCTTTGTTTCGTCTCAGTCTTATCCATTGTCACGTTCTCCATGCCATCCCCCTGTGTTCGCTCCACACAGCCCATCTTGTGAACATCTGAAAAATGTACACTGATACTTCAGACTGCAAAATTATCATCCTGAATTCGTGCGATGTTAACTCTACTAGTATCACTTGTGCGATAGAAACATTTCAACGTACTTAACCGCAACTTCCTTAACATTTACTCGACGTAACTCTACGTTGATTTAACGTAATCTTTAGCTTTCATCTCAATCTACCATCCTCATTATCAATTGTAATAATCAAGCGTGAAAGCGTGACCAACATTTCGCACTTTAATGAAATTAAATTGGTAGTAATAACGGTGACAGCTAACCTGGTTGACAACGAGTGCTGTGTTTCTTGAGATTCGTCGCCGCGCTCATGTTTGGCAGTGTCGACATTTCACAGATGCACGATTCGATGCGTGGTACTACCTAATTAATATTTACAAACGCCTGTGATATCATCGTAATTTAAATAGGCTATCTCAACGGCATTTACAACTCACATATACGGATGACTAACATCAGCGCAGCCAAGAGGAAGTTGAGTAGAATTACGAAATCAAAGCTGGTATTGGCTCGTGCGATCGCGCCACAATGACGACGACGGACGGTGCTGCCCTCACGAGGCTAATCGTGCATAATCGTAATGGCGCAATGAACGAGTGGTCACGGTGAGATTTTGTTGAAAAGTAAATGCGTGAAATATCCGTCGAAAGTGTCGACAATTCGGAATCCGCGTATTTTAGAACGATTCTGCTGTACGGCGGGGAAAATCCATTCGAATGCGGTACGTTCGTTCGTTAGCGAGAATTCGCGTGAGTAAATGTCTAACTGTCGATTTGAAAAAAAAGAGAACCAACTGTACCGCCATATTATCTAACGCGAACGACTTCAAAAGGTAGCGCAAGCTCGAGTATCAGGATACGAGAAAGTCGACGTGCGCGTCTAGGAAGACGGCCGGGAATCCCGACGACGATATCCTGAAGGACCTGAGATCCTATCCCTCGCTTCCCTCACGAGTATGCGTCAGCGGGGTAGCGCCAAAGCACGAACAAGGTACGAACGACACACGTTCTTGCCGGAGAATTCGCGGGAATGTAAGCTGGCAACGAGGGTTCGTGTAATTTTGAAATTCGCACGATATACGGTTGAGAGGGAAAATATCTAAAAGGTAAGAAAATATTCGGCGGATACTGATAATATATTTACTCACAGCGATATACATATTTCTACACTGGGAAAATTTTCTCCCCCAAATGAGAAAATATTAGGTTTATTTTCATACTTATATATATATTTATATATATATTTTTATTTAATGCATATTTTCTTAAATCTGTAGCTTTGCACGTGAGAGCAATTATTTATTCTAATCAAATGGAAACATTTAGATTTATGTAAATATGTTATTAGTACCCAGCGAATATTTTTTTACATTTTACAGATTTCTCCTCTTTGTGTACGCAAACAGAAAACTCGGCGAAAATGGTTAAAAAATTGTAAAAAAATTCGTAGAATGTTCGAAAATGAGTCTATATCTGCATTCGTATGATCGTTGCGTCTCTCTTTACAACGATCGAGAATGCGATACGCTTCGTCGTGTAAGACCCGATGAGAACATTCACGTGAAATCGACGTGGAAACTACGTGAGAAAATTCCACGTCGATTCCACGGATGTTCTCTCATGGAGGAGTCACGACTACCGATTTCCCGCGAATTGTCGTGCGACAGTCGGATGCTTTCACGAAAACGCATTCTCCGCCGAATTTTTCGAAAAACCGACGTATGTCGTCAAAACGACGCTGTCGTTACAACCTTAATAAATAACATACTTAATGTTAGACGTGACAGTGACGGATATTATGTTTGCATGTGTGTGAATATTCTGATAGAAAAGCATTGGGGAATATTTCGATGGCGAATTGAAGGATGTTCGCCTGCCGTCGTAAAAACGGATAACGTAAATCCAACGTAATACGCGTCTAAGGCCTGCAATAATAGTCGTTACTTAAAACTTACCTTGTGTGAGGTCCGAATTATAAAGTCAGATTTGAATTTTTTTCTTTCAATCGTCTAATACACGCGATATTACATTTGTACGAGTGCGTGGGCGATTCAGCCGGAAGACTCGCGTCCAACTTGAGATTCAAATCCGAGCGTCTCACCTGAGGGGGGAGAGTTTCAGGTAACCCTGCTAACACGGATCTAACAAGACAACCCGACGACCGCTCGGCACGCGCTCGTCCCTCACAAATATTCTCGGCAACAGGATAGCATGAGGAAAGATTTTTTTCCCCGGACGGGTGGGGGAGGGTGCGGGGTGGCGCGGCCGCTCCCACCCCCGCGGCGTATGCGCTTTCGGACGGCAAGCATCCCCCGTATCAGGGCCGCATGCGTCCGCGAATTTCGCCGCGACGTGCGCCCGGCCTTCTTTCGCCGACGACGGCGACGACGACGTGTGCTCGTTCTTCGACAAGGCTCGTCAACGTCCTGTCACTCGTCAAGAGAGTGGCGCCAGAAGCATTCGCACCACCAGGAAGCTATAACTCAGGAACGCTCGTTCCGCTCGCTCCTGCTTCCGGCCTCCGCCGAGCGGAGCTGGAGGGTGTTCCAGGAGCGTCAGGATAGCAGGACAGCCGCGGCGCGCACGCCCCGGTTGGAAATTACCTGGAAATTACCGTGGAAAGCAGCCGACTTGCCGTCGGTCTGAAAGGCCGCTCGAGGCGAGCTCAAGACGCCTTCCTGGACGATTCCCTTCTTTTCTTCGCCCTCTCTTGCGAGCCCCGGCGACTCCTCGCTCATAATCACGCCGTCCTCAGGCAGAGGGTGGGTAATTGCACGCGGAAATTATGAGATGTCGATCGGAGACGGGGTAAGACGGCGGATAAGACGGACGGACGGCGCTCGGTCGTGTTGCACTTTTTCCTATCGGCCGCGATCCGTCTTCCGTGCATCTTAATTTCAGGCGCCGATCACAGGCGATCATGAAACGGCACGCAGCCGAGCCCGAAAAAATATCCAAATATTCGAGCATATTTCCAATATCGCCGCTGCAACACGCGCGACTGTATCGGTGACGCGCGCGCACCAACACAGATTCGTTGAGCCGCGCGCGGCAACCGTGTGTTTACCGCACACACCAGCGACGACGAAACGCTGCAATCAGCGGGTTGGGAAAGGGGGGGGGGGAGGAGTGCGTAGACTTACCCTAATTATCCCTGGGAAATTATTTTCTCGCGTAATTTCCGCACGCACATTGTTTCAGCGCCGACGCGTTAATGCGTCTTCAAGCGCATAATTAAAATCCCTGGACTTGGATCTGTTAAAATAATTCGAGGGACGGAACGAGCTTAAGTTTCATCGGAAAGTTTAACTCTTCGTTGGCGCATTTATTTGTCGCTATTTAATTCGACATATTTGGTCTGCGAGATCCAGCAAGGGGGAGAGAGTTTTCAGATATCTCCCGTAATTAAATATACCTGTAAATGCGTGCTTATTCAGTGAATTATATTTAATAGTGAATAGATATTTATTATAAATTAATTTTGTTTTATATTGTACATTAGAAAATCCATGCATCAGGTTCATAGGTTTTAATGTGCCATATTAAGGCGTCGAAATGCAAAATAAAGATAGATGTTCGGTTTCTTATATAACATATAATATATGAAGAAGATTGTATATAAATAGTTTATTTAATTTTGAATATATATTATTTACCTGTTATTTTCGTTCGAATGCGGAAAACTTGTTTCTTTTCATCAAGCTGATTGCCCGGATGTTGTGAAACTTATAACACAAATATTTGATAATTCTGAACGTGCAATATATAAACTTGAGAAATTTATCGCGATAATTATCTTGAAAATATATAGACAATTCAAAGTATGAGATATATAAAGGTGTAAATGTTTAATATACAAAGTATAAAGTAGTATTTTGATACACAGAAAGAAGTAAGAAATATTGCCTGGTTAAAGAAAAGAATTTCGCACGTTTATACGTGCAATAATTCAAGAACCCTCTAACATCTGTAGAGGGTTTTGATTTTTCGATTTTTCGGGTCAATATGACCCGTGAGCGCCAAGGTTAAGATACGTGCACAAAGAAACGCGTTCGCCCCTATGCGATCGAGGAGGAGACGAATAAAACAGCTCGGACCGAGTCAAAGCGGAAGCTTGAGCGCTCTAACTTCGGGCGGGATTCGCGGCCGCGAATTCAGGTCGTCCGCGGCTTCAAACGAACGGGGTGTTTGACTGCGGTGGCTGCTAATTGCAACGGTAACAGGATTTATTTCAATTTGTGCTTCAAAGCACAGTCTTGTTTTTCCACCAGGATACCATCCACGCGACGGAGTTTGTCGCGGCCGGCCGTTTCTATTATTTCGTATCCTCCGTAGGTCGCGCGTCTCGCTGGACGAGGACGATGACCGACAATTCGCCGTCCGGCTGGGGTGCAGTTGCTTCGAATATCCTGGTAACGTCCCTCGCGCCCAGGTACGGAATGTCGCGTATATACGGCGACGCCGGTTGATCAATAATACTCCCACGTTTCTCACGTCGTTGGAAGGTGTTTCGTTGGAAAAGATAGAAACGCCGGCAGAAACGGCGACAGGGTAACAGGAGGCACAAGCTGCTATGCAAGCGACGTTGTAAGGATCAACGCCTGCGCACGGAGCTCGTGATACTTTCTTTGTGTCCTACGGAACAGGATGTAAGCTCGCGTAAAATAGGGTGGCATCTGATATGGAAGATCCTCTTAATTAGATATTAATAGGTTGACTGTCTCACGATTATTTCTGTGTATACAGATTGCTCCGAAGCTTCATTGAGATTCGAATTAATCGCGGAGTTATTACATTATTATTAAGGTAAAGTAATCATTGTTAAACCTCGCACGGCACACTAGGGTCATATTTCCGTTTTCCCTTAGTTCAATTCTGTAAAAGTGCTGATAAAAGTCTGTGAAAAAATTATGAATACACTTTTGACACTAATGCGCGCGGTTTTCTGGCACTTTAATCTGGCACACCGGGGGTCACTTGTGTTCTCACTTTTTAAAGCCTGTAAAAATGCTAAGAAAAATCTGTAACTGATCCTGAATATATTTTGAAATATGTAGAATATAATTATGTAAAGGAATGATGGCGAATGTTCAAATAAATATTTTATTTTATTGGAAATATAAAGGGAAACGCGATGAAAACACGAGTCGGCTGGGATTCATAATGACCCCAGTGTACACGATTAGGGTTAAATCTGTAGAATAAAATTATATAAAGAAAATGATCACAAATTGTCATTTGAGTATTTCATTTTATTGTAAAAATAAACGCGATCAAAGAATTAGACTAAAGATTCAACGATCAGCTTGACGATAAGAACAAGTTTTTTACATTTTAAGAAAAATAATAGGTAAATGATATTGTCAAAATTAAATAAGCTATTTATATACAACCTTTCACATATATGTATTATAACAAATTGAAATATCTACCTTTATATTTTGTATTTTGACATCTTAATGTG